AAAATCAGAACAAAAAGGAAAAACCAAAAGAAAGGGAAAAAAAGACAAAATAGCATGCTTCACTCTGCACTCAGACTCCATAGTTCTTTCTCTGGATGTGGATAGAATTTTCCATCATGAGTCTTTTGGAATTCTCTTAGATCGTTGTATTGCTGAGAAAAGCAAAGTCTATCAAAGTTAGTCAGCACACAATGTTGCTGTCACTATTTACATTGTTCTCCTGGCTCTGCTCACTTCAGTCAGCATCACTTCTTGCAAGTCTTTCCAGGCTTTTCTGAAGTCCACCTGTTCATCATTTCATATAGCACAATAGTATTCTATTACATTCATATAACACAAGTTGTTCAGCCATTCCCCAATTTATTGGCATCCTGTCAATTTCCAATTCTTGGTCACCACAAAAAGGGCAACTATACAATGTCTTTGTACATGCAGGTCCTTTTCCTTTTTTTATGATATCAGAATACAGACCTAGTATTACTATAGCTGTCAAAGAGCATTCACAGTTTTGTATCCCTTTGGGCATAGTTCCAAATTGCTGTCCAGAATGGTTGGATCAGTTCACAACTCTACCAACAATGCATTAGTGTTCCAATTTTCTCACATCTTCTCCAACATGTATCATTTTCCTTTTTTTTTTTTGTTATACTAGCCAGTTGAATAGGTGTAAGGTGGTACCCCAGAGTTGTTTTAATTTGATTTAGAGCATTTTTCATATGACTATAGATAGTTTTAATTTCTTCTGGATATTATTCTTTCTCCTGTCCTCCACAATCTAGCCAAACCTTCTCTTGTAGCTCCTCATGAGCCACATTCCATCTCTCATCTCTATGCCTTTTGGCTGTCCCCCATGCCTGAAATGCACTCCTTCCTTATTTCTGTCACATAAAATCTCTGTTTTCTTTTAAGACATAGCACAGGCACTGTCTTCTACATGAAATTTTTCCTGATCCCATAACTGCTTGTGCCCTCCCTCCAAAACTACCTTATAGTTAACTTATATGTATTTATTCCTTCATTTTTATGTTCTATATACTTATATATGTGTTAGTTGACTTATGCCATTAGACTACAAGCTCCTTGTGAGTAGGGAGAGTTTCATTCTTTGTATTTAAATACTCAGTACCTAGCACAGTGACTAGCACATAGTAGGCACTTAATAAACACTTATTGATTAATTAGCTGATTTAAGTGCTCATTTTGGATGGCAGGCTATTAAAGAACTAAATTGAATAAGATAATGATCAATACATACAACAGTCAATCAACAAGTACCTTCTAAATGCTAGACATTAAGCTAAATTCTGGGGATTAGAAGAAAGGCAAAGGACAGTCCCTACTTTCAAACATATAAACAAAACAAAACATATAAAGGGTAGATTTGAAATAATCAGTAAAAGGAGGAACTACCATTAAGGGTGATCATCAAAGATTTCTTCTTGAAAATGTGATTTTAGCTGGGATTTGAAAGAAATCAGAGAACAAGGGAAAGACAGAAGGACAGAAAGGAGTCTAGGCATTATGAGCAGCCAGTGAAAGTGCTGAGATCCTAGATATGGAATGTTTTGTGTGAGGAACAAAGAGGTCAGTGCACTGGATTGAAAGTTAAGGTATAGAAAGGCTAGAAAGGTGAGAAAGGGCTAAGTTTACCCAAAAAAAGTCTTAGAAAAACAATACCCATGTAGGTTAGGATCTTCAGGAAAAGTTTTGTAGAGGAACTTGGCCTTGATCTGGACCTTGAAAGATGTGTAAGATATGCATAAATAAAGAGGAAAGAGTAACAGCATGGATAAAAAGCATAAACATTTTTAGACTCCAGGAAAACAAAGAATCAATATATAATACTATCTTCATTTGTAAAATGAAGTCAATAACTTCTAAGGTTCTTTTGATCACTATATCAATAATCCTCAAAATAATAACTGATATCTATATAGTGTTTTAAAGATTATAAAACATTAGAGATATATGTGTGCTTTTATGTAACGTGTGTGTATGCATAGATATGTATGAATGTATTTAAGATATACATGTATGTTCTCATTTGAACCTCAGAACAACTCTATAAGGTAAGTATTACATGTATTAGTGCTCTTATTGGACCAAAAAGAAACTGAGACTCAGAAAGGTTGTGACTTGTGCATGGTCCCAGGTCTAGCAAATACTAAGCTGCAATTAAAAGCCAGGGTTTGTTGACCCCAAGTCTACCATACTTTCTACTGCACCATTCTGTCACAATGTTTGAGCCCAAGTACTCACCTGACATTTTAGGCATGTTAAAAGGTCTAGAGGAAGAAAGTTCATTAAATAGTTCATTGAGGAGAATTCCTAGAAAGAAATGAACATCTCCTTTGGAATGAGAAGGCAGGAAATTGACAAATATCCCATGGGCTGAGAAGGCATGGCTGGTTATAAGCTACACAACCAATGACAATTTCTACATCAGTGAGATCATGGTTCCATTGCTCTATTGAAATAAGACACTACAACAGCTAATAGGTTTAGTCAAACAATTGGTTAAATGTGACCTATTTTGTCAAATTTTTTGATGGAATTAACAATCATTTTGGTTTTTAAAAATGATAAGCCAAAAACTCTATTTAAAGAATTGATTTTGGAAATTCAATAAACAGACAGTGTGGTTTTGTTGCATCATCATTGTCCCAGGATATAGAATCCATGTATTGATCTGATAAACTATGAAGGGCTGCTGCTGAATATAGCATAAAACATCTATTTCAAGTAATAAAGTTACTAAAGTCACTGTGATAGACATTAACATTTTTCTAGGGTAGATATATTCCCATTTATAAAGTGTCATTATGTAGTCATTAGAGACCTTTTTAGAAATACTACGGGCAGCTAGGTGGTGCAGTGGGTAGAGCACCGGCCCTGAAGTTAGGAGGACCTGGGTTCAAATCCGGCCTCAGACCAAACACTTCACACTTACTAGCTGTGTGACCGTGGGTAAGTCACTTAACCCCAATTGCCTCAGCAAAAAAAAAAAAAGAAATACTAAAGATCTTATCAACATGTTTGGTGATATTTCCGCCATTACACCTTCCAAACAAACAGTATTAACAATGCATTGACAAAGTAATAACACACTCAGCTGATGGTGTGTAGCTACAATAAAAGAAATATAGTCTTGAATAGAAATATACTCTTGATATCTTAAAGACCTAGAAATTGGGACTAAGGAATCAACAGAGAAAATTAACTTTTCTTTGTCAGTAAAGCCATAAAAGATATTCTTAAAGGAATGATCAAAAAACAAAACCCATAATAGTGACGATTTCTAGTCTTTTATTTTCTATAGCTTATTTGATGGCTGGAATTGTCCAAAGGAAGGAAGGAAGGAAGGAAGAAAGAAAGAAAGAAAGAAAGAAAGAAAGAAAGAAAGAAAGAAAGAAAGAAAGAAAGAAAGAAAG